TTCTGCGCCACTTTCAAACTGTCTGCAGCTTCATCCATCATCATTTGCCTATCAAAGCCATAACGATATGCTGCAGGACATTTCCCACCAGTATTTTGCTGTACCATCTTCGTAGGTAGCCTTGGCTGCCTGCGCAAAACGATCTCAAATGGACTTTTCTCCGTCGAAGAAGACTTGTGCAAGTTATAACACATCTGTGCACAGTCCAATAAATCAACCCAATTTCGTTGAGATGCTGTCACAAAATGCCTCAAATACTCCTCAAGCAGATGATTGATTCGTTCGGTTTGGCCATCAGTTTGGGGATGGTTCGCCGTTGAGAACTTCAAATACGTGCCCAGCAGATTGAACAAGTAAGTCCAAAACCTGCCTGTGAACCTTGCATCCCGATCACTAATAACATCCTCTGGCAATACCGAAATGCTTCACCACATTTTTGAAAAACAACTCTGCAGCAACTTTTGAGGGACACTCTGTTGGAGCAGCAATAAACACAGCATATTTAGAAAATCTTTCAACTACCACCATGATCGAAGATAGTCCATTGACTTTAGGAAACCCACTGATAAAATCCATAGAAACGGATTGCCACGTCTCTTCAGGAATTGGCAAAGGTTGCCACAGACCTGCTTCCTTCTTCCGTTCTGTTTTATCAAGTTGACAAACGAGACAACTTTTCACATAAATAGTATCTACATCTTGTTCCATTTTTGGCCAGAAATAGTATCGCGACAGCAGCACCATCATCCTCTCAATACCTGGATGGCCAGCCCAAAGTGTATCATGAGTCTCTTTCAGCAACTCACGACGCAGTCCATCACCAAGAGGAACAACGATTCTCCCCCCTTTGAAATGGAGAAGATCGTCCTCGATCCAGTACCGTCTCACAGCACCTTCCTTCACACGATTCATTGTCTTTATGTACAATGGATCATTCACAGCAGCTAACTTGATTTTATCAAGAAAATCTGACTCAAGTCTTGTGATTGAATAAATAGCAGCAAAGACCTCTTTCCGACTCAAGGCATCCGCGACTTGGTTGTGCTTTCTCAGTTTATGCTCCCATACAAAATCATATTCAGCAAGAAATTCCTGCCATCGTGCTTGTTTAGGACTCAAATTCTTCTGAGTTTTGAAGAAAGTATTTGCCACATTGTCCGTCCTTACGACGAACTTTGTCCCCAACAAGTAAACACGCCAGATTTGTAAGCAATGAACCACAACAACCATCTCCTTCTCGTGAGCCGAATATCTCTGCTCCGCTTCATTCAACTTCCTGCTTTCAAAGGCCACAGGATGACCTTCTTGAACCAGCACGCCTCCAACAGCTTTGTCGGACGCGTCTGTATGCACTTCAAACGGCAACTCAAAATCAGCAAGCCGCAATATTGGTTCTGATGCAATTGCTTCTTTCAACACAGCAAATGCAGCACAGCATTTTTCCGACCAATCCCATTTAACATTCTTCTTCAACAAGTCCGTCAATGGGGTAGCTTTCTTTGAGTAACCCGCAATAAACTTTCTGTAATAATTAGCCAACCCGAGGAAAGACCACAATTCTTTCACAGTTTTAGGAGCCTGCCATTCAACAATAACCTGCACCTTTGTCGGGTCCATACGCACTTGATTCTGACTAACCAAATGCCCAAGAAATTTGATCTCCTGTTTGGCAAATTCACACTTCTCCATCTTCACATAGAGTTTGTACTCCCGCAACCGAGACAGTACCTTTATCAAGTGTTCATCCAGATTTCGACTATAGATGACAATGTCGTCTAAATAGACAACGACAAAGTCATCTAAAAACTCATACAGCACGTCATTCATAAGATTGCAAAAGGTAGCAGGGGCGTTTGTCAAGCCAAACGGCATAACAAGGAACTCGTATGAGCCATACCTCGTAATATATGTAGTTTTAGACTCATCACCTTCAGCTATGCGTACCTGCCAATACCCTGACCGCAAATCTAGCTTCGTGAACCAACAAGCCTTACTCAATCTGTCCCTCAAGTCTTGCACCAACGGAACCGGATATTTGTTTTTGACAGTCACCTTGTTCAATGCTCTATAATCAACACACATCCGTAGCGTCCCATCCTGTTTCTTTTGAAATAAAACAGGTGCACCAAAAGGAGCTTTAGATGGCTGAATCAAACCCGCATCCAGCAACTCGTTCAATTGTTTCCGCAATTCAGCCAATTCTTTCGGCGCCATACGATAAGGAGGTTGAGCAGGAGGCATCGAACCCGGCATCAACTCAATCTTATGATCAATAGCCCTCCGTGGTGGCAAATTTTTAGGCAACTCCGGTGGCATCACATCAGCAAAGTCACTCAAAATTGGAGCAACGCAGTCCGGCACTTCAACCTTAACATCGGGCTTCACCTCAACTATAGCAGCAAGGAAAGTCTCCTCTCCCTTCTTCAAACCTTTTTCGACCATCATGGCAGAAATCAATGAAGCCTTCCGTTGAGTTTCTTCTCTTCCATATGAATAAACAGCTTTCACAAAACCAGGAGCCATATCATTCATGATCATCACTCCGTCCAAGTAAGGCATTGGAACAAAGCGATGTTTCCGCATGAAGTCAATTCCGAGGATCACCTCAAACTCTTCTAGAGGTATCACCATCAAATTGACCTTCCCTTTCCAGTTCCCAACAGACATAGGAACATCATAAGCCATACCCACAATGGCTTGTGCTTTGGCATTCACAGTCTTATGTAAGAGGGGCACTTTGACACTCTCAAACCATACTTATGCACTAAATTGGCAGAAACAAACGTGTGAGTAGCACCAATATCTACCATTGCTATCACACTTTTGTCCCCAATTCTCATTTCGATGTGCATCAGCAAGGAATGAGGGTTCGTCTCGTCACTTGTAGCATTCACCAACGAGATCACATTCAACAATTGCAAAGGATTTACTAAGGCAGCAGCAACTTCTCCGCCTTCACCACCATCCCGATTATTTTCTGTAGCAAGCAAAGCATTCACCCTTCCCCGATTCGGACAGTTTTTGGCAAGATGCGGTCCTCCGCACGTCCAGCAACCAGTTTGCGACGCCTTTGTTTCGAACAGCACCATCAACAGCCTTGCCCTTTTCAACAACTTCTTTATAGACTTCCTTCCTCCATTCCCCTTTCTTCTCCACCCGTTTCTTAGGTTTTGAAGTAGAAGGAATATCAGAAAGAGTTTGGGTACTGCGATAATCCACCAAGGAATCCGCTGCAGCAATTGCACTTGGGAGATCTTTCACGTTCTGTCTCCGAAGTTCATTCTGCGCCCATGCTTGCATTTCAGAAATAAAGTTATGCAATTTGTCGTCCTCCGACATGTTCTGAATGTCCAGCATTAAGGAAGTAAATTCCTTAATATAATCTCGAATAGATCCAGTTTGCCGCAAGCGTTTCAAACGGTCTCTAGCAAGCCAAGCTGCGTTGCTAAGCAAGAATTGGTCCTTCATTTCTTTTCTGAGTTTCTCTCATGTATCAATTTTCGGTCTGCCCGCACTTTCATCGTCCGCCATGCGAGTTCTCCACCACAATTTAGCATCTCCCGTTAGGTACATGCTAGTAATTGTGACCTTTTGCTCATTTGGAACCTTAGCAGCCACGAAATATTGTTCCATATCCCACAGAAAATTTTCCATTCCTTTGCACTACGCGTTCCACCAAACGTTTTTGGATCAGGAATCTTCACCTTCGAGCGTTCTTCATTGCCTTGGCCTGGAGCAGCCAATGCACGTCGAAGAACTGTAATTTCGGCATTCAAGTTTTCGATCTCCTTCTTCAGATCTTCAACTCTGCCATCCATTGCCTCACATATTTGTTGGATCCCATTGCGAAACTGATTTGCCCCATCCTTTAGACGGTAGATTTCTGTAATTAAATCTGCCAAGTCTAACGGATCATCAGTCACGCCAATTAGCGCCTCCAACCATTGCACTTTATCACGTAAGTCTGCAGTAGACCCACCAGCCATGGCCTCTTAGCACGACCAAAGCTCTGATACCAGTTGTTACAGGGCCAATTTTTCGCAAAGATTGACACTGCACGGCAGCGGCACAACAGAGCCACTCAGCGTTCACTTTTCGCACACACAGTCTTACTTAGAATTTTCAGACTTTAGCCAAACTAAGAACACACACAGAATTTACGGGTAAAAACCCAACCTTTATTAATTCTCGCAGAATATACAAAGGACTCACGTTTTTAGACTTGGCTCACACATATGCTACTTGCCTTAGCCAAAAACGAATTACACATATACAAAGGGGGCTGCCCATGGCAGTTTACAAAGGGGCAGTTAGGGCGGTTACATACAATGTGCCATGCACATGACTTAACTAAAAATAAGCACAACTGATGGTTTGAATTCAAATTCAAACCCTTTCCACGTTTTTGCCTTATCTTCAGCATTTGGAGCCAATTCCACATGTACTTGGCACAAGCCTTCAACTTCCAAGCACATGCCTTGCACACCACTTCCGTCACATGACTTGCACACTTGCCTTGTACCTTTGCCCACGTTTTTGCCTCCAGCCTTTGCCTTTCTTTGGACCTTGCCTTGCCCTTAATTTCATAGCCATGCCTTGCTATAAATTAAGTCATCCCACTTATCCGTTTTGCTGCCATCGCCGTAGGCCACGAACCAAGGCTGCCTTGCCAACACAATCAAGCTGCCTTGCCTTTAGCTGCCTTGTCTAAGTCCATACTAACTTAGACATACGCCCAGCCCTTGCACATTGCTTTGCCAACACTTCAATGAATCCATGTCAAGGGGCAATGCACAAGCCCTTGGCACAGATTCTGCCCGACTATCGCCGCGTCTCAATATTGGGGTCTAACAATTCTTTATGGCCTTAAACATGTTATAACATTTGTGTGGCTATAAAAACATCTTTATTAAGGAAATATATAAATGTGCCATTCTTTTTGTAATTCACATGAATTTGCTGGAAGAGTGGAAGAAGACTAAACAAGTACTCCCTCGGTTCACTTTGCTGTACTTTTGCAGGGAGACCATGTTACATTCTTAAATGTGTATAAAGGATTCATTCAGTCTAATAAATCTTCGAAGTGGTGTCACAAGAATTTTGTAAATTATCATGCCATGGTAAGTCCTAATCCAGCTTCCAAGGCAGGATTTTGATGCATTTGGATGTTCTCTCTTTCCTTTTTCTTTTTTAGTTTATTAATAGTAGTGTTTTGTGAACTATGCATTATTTGGGTTTTGAGATGCTCCCTTGTGACATCCTTGATTTTTTTCCCACTACATCTATATGCAGAAAAAAGTAATTGAAGTTAGGGAACAACTGAAAAGGATTACACAACGGTTGGGTATAGGATTGAAATCTTGCGAAGGGGATATGCAGGTAACTTAATTTGCTGACTCAGTTGTTAATGTCAATAGCATTCAACAAACCATGAAGCAGTTGCCCATGTTTTAGAACTGATTGCTCGCTTGTCATTTTATGAAGTGTGTGATCATCTCATCTATAAGTTTAAGCTTTTAGAAAGAGCACACTTATATTTTCTTAATTATGTCTTCAACACACTCCCTCATGTGTGGAACCAAGCACATGGATATTTTTCTTGATAATAGGTGGCAGTGAGACTCGAACGTAGGACCTTTGCCTGCTTTAATACCATGTTGAAGTGTGTGACCATTACGGGAATATTTTTATTTTCTTAATTATGTCTTCAAGCTCATTGAACAAATATTGTTGCCTGAAGTTCTTCATCAATAGAAAAAATATTATTGCCTGAAGCATTCTTCTCCACCACCACAAGGCCATCAAAGTAGAGCGATGACACATGCCGCTAAGGGCTTTAATTAAAGATTTATTCTTGGGCTTAGCTATTACAACTTGGCCTCTTCCTGATAGCAGCATAACTTTTTTTTTTTTAAAGATAAAATTGCTTAAAAGTTTGTGAGCAATTCTTTCCGTCATTCAAGAGCTTACGATGTAATAGGTGTGACTGAAATTAGTCATTTTGCAGGCAGTAAGGAAGGCAATTACAGCAGGTTTTTTTGCCAATGCTTCCCGTTTAGAAGTGAGTATGAGATTTGATACATGTCTCATACTTAATATTTGTCTTAAAGGGCACACTCTTTCCATTTTTATTGTCTTTTTTCTATCTCATATTTTCTGATCTGAGCCTATTTGATAACATCTGTTGCTCGTCTTTGAAACAGCCATTCAGTCACAATGGGATGTACAAGACTGTCAGGACTTCTCAAGAAGTTTATATTCATCCCTCATCTGTGCTGTTCAGGTACTTATAAACAGGTTTCGATAGTCCAAGGAACTATGATATTACTTCACTTCTGCTATATGCTTTGAAAAAAGGTGCTACTTTTCTTTATTTTATGCGAACTTTTTAGGGCTTCCCATGTGGACTTCAAACTCCTGGGATTTTGGGTTCGACCCTCTACCTCTCTCCCAACTTGAATACCAAGTTTTTTTGCTGTAGTGTTTGAACCCATGAGACATGCACCTTGCTTACACATCACATGCTTTTACCACTGAACCAAAACCCCAAGAGCTAAGAAGAGGCTATACTTGTTGAGTCGAATGCATAGCTTACAAACAGTGAATGTTCCAAATTGTTGCATCCTGTTAAAGCATGGTTTGGTCAGGAATTGGTTCTTTCTTGTCGCCATCCTTCCTTTGTATATGTGCCTGCGTGCATCGACACTGAGCATTTTTTTTCCTTTGATCAACGAAAGCATGGCTGAACTCGTTTAGTAACTGCATGTTCATGTACCGTGCGAACGCAGCTTCTACTCGAAACGGATCTTGTACAACATTTGCATATTGTCCCTTCTTACTTTAGGATAAAATAGGAAAAAATAAAACTAGATAAGTTGAATTGTTATTATGTTCTGTTACATCTTAAGTTTATAATGAGTTCTCTCAAATTTNAGTGGGGTTTTGGGAGGGTAGAGTGTACGCAGACCTTACCCATATCCCGGAGGGATAGAGAGGTTGTTTCCGGAAGACCCTCGGCTCACTTAAGTTTATAATGTGTTTTCTCAAATTCGACAGGGTCAACCCGAAGTGGATCGTATACCATTCTCTTGTTTCAACGGATCGTCAGTACATGCGAAATGTCATTACTGTTGATCCTTCTTGGCTAACGGAAGCTGCACCACATTTTTATCAGAAGCAGATGCATAGTTCAATTCCTCAATGATACACAATTTTCTTGGATCCTTGGCAGCCTCATTCTGATTTGGAAAATTGTAGCAATTTGAAAACCTTTTTAAATACACTAACTCCTTGTATATTGGTTATACTTTCTCCCAATGGTGGAGCTACATAGGCTCAAGGGACGTCGGTTAAACACCTATAGCTTGAAAGTTAATATTATGTATATAGGTCAAGTATTACTTTGTGTGAGCATGTGATTTTTGCCTCGTTTAAATTACTCCTATAGAATTCTTAGAATTAGGATTGTTGTTTTTATTTGATTTTTAGGATTTAATTGTGTATTTTTATGTTAATTTTATTTGTGTGTGCATGATAAGTCATATAAAAATACAAAAAAAATTGCATGAGCATTTAGAATTTAATTTTTACATTTTTAGACTAATTAGTAACTAGGCTTTTACAAATATAAGCAAAATCACAAAAAAATCTTGTTTTGTTTTGTTTGATTTTAATTTTTATTTTAGGTCTGTTAATTTCTTTTGAATTGATTTTAGACTAATTGTAGCTTAATTAGGTGGATTGAATTAATTGTGAGGTTTTATTTTTAGTTTTAAAATAAAAAACAAAAGAAAATCAAAAGAAAGTGGAATTGGGCCGTTTTAATTAATGGCCCAATCTTTCAAAAAATGAAGCCCGGACCAAGCCCAAAATACCCCCACCCGGTCCAGCCCCCTTGTTTTCCAAAATGGCGTCGTTTAAGCCCAGATCAATCTTAGCCGTTTAGGTTGGTTGATCCAACGGTTGAGAAGCTGGGCTTATTTAATATATAAATATCCGATTTGGACCTCGCCCACTTAGAACCCCCTATCCCCTTCGACTCTCTCACCAATAAACCTTAGAGACCCCTTTCCCGTCTTCGCCGTCCGCCGCTAGCAGGAAATCGTCCTCGCCGTTCGCATGTCTCCAAATAATCCCAAAAGTACACCCTGAACTCCCCTCATTGTCCTCTTTCCAAACCCCCAAACCCCGTCCCTAAAATCCCAGTTGGACTTCTCGAATCTTAAATGAAATGAATCGACCAAAATCCTAAATCATTCAAATCCAACCAAACTAACACCACATAGCCTCCTCACCTCCCTATTTCCGAATTCATCATCCCCAAGGTTCTCGAATTTTAAATTGTAGAACGGCAGAACCCTAGAAATTTGAGTTTGTTGATTTTTTCCCAATTTCATGAATCCAAAAACTGATTTGAGTCACAAAATAATGCTTCCGTTTGTTCTTGGAAAAGAACAAACATTTAGCATCATTTGGGGACTCGAATCGAAGCACAGTCCTGTTCGATTCTTGCATAGGCGAGTTTTTCTTATTTTTTTGCTATTAAAATTAGTTTAAACATAGTTTCTGTTAATTCATTCATGTTTTCTTTATACTTTATTTTTCTTTTTCTGGCTGTAACAGTACTCTAGGTTTTGTAGTTAGTTTAAGTTTTTAATTTCTTCTCTGCTCTTATTGATGTTGGTTTATGACTTAGTGTATTTGATTAATTTTACTTGTTTTCCTAAATTCATGTTTGATTGACAAAATAGCCTATAGTGTATTAATTCAAACTGATAGAGATTAATTTATGATTAAAGATAGGTTTAGTTTAGTTTGGTTAATCGAAGGATTGTTTGAGTATTGCTGAACTGCTAAGGTCCTGGTTAAGCAACCATGGTTAGTTTGAATGGGTTGGGTTATTTGACATAGGCTTGGTAATTTCAGAATCAAATCAAGGGTAGTATAGATTTTTCAAATAAGAGAATCCTGCAAATAACTGAATTGGAAACCCCTAGAACTCTCTAGATGTGGATCCAATTATAATTTTAAAGATTTAATAGTCTAAATTGGGCAACAAGCCAATAAATAAGGGGCTAACTAGCTAAAAATTAAAAATAAAAGAGGGACTTAGGGGGTAAAATAGAAAGTTGAAGGCTGCCTTGAGTTTTGCTTATAAAAAAGCATGCTCCTTGCCTTATTGAACGGGGGAGAGATCCCAAAATTTGAAATTCAGATTCAAAATAAGAAGAGTTTGAAATCTGAGAGTAAAAATTCATTCTAGATTTGAGATCTCCAAAAAAAAAACCAAAATAACACAAAAAACTCCAAAAATTACTATTCTATTGAAGTTTCTTAGTTTAATTTCGAGTTCTAGTTGTTGATTCGAATTTTCAAGCTTAGATAAGGATAAAGTGGCTTAAATATTCCTTGTGTTTTGGTTGCTGAAGTTTCAGAAGTTGTTCTGGGTTTAATTTCAAGTTTGTTTGGGTTCATTCAAGCTGTTTTGGTTTGTTTTCTGGTACTGTTTACGTTAAAACCTTTCCTAGGCTGTTTGATATTATTTCTGGGTTTACAATAGATCCCGAGCTGCTGAACTTGCTGACTCTCATCTCCGTTTTTACTTGAATTCCAGGTACACTTTCGATATCCAGTGGTGTATGAAGCCAAACTAGGTGTATTCTCAAGTTGAAGATAATTGTTACTTGTTTCTTTACGAATTCTTATTTTTTTACTTTAATTCTGATACTTATCACAATTGAGACAGTTATTTTGTAACAACAGGACATTTGAACTGTTATTTCGGGCTTATATGAGTAGTTAGCAGTAATGTCATCTGTAGTGTAGTTAATTCAGATTGCGATATCATGTTCATTTGAGAGTTAAAATTCAAATAAGTTGCTGGTTTGAAATTGAATCCCAAAATAGACTGTATGCTAGTATTAGTTGTTCATTCACAGGTTCAATCCACGTGTGAAAGTCCTTGAAATGTACTGATTGCAATTGATTTGGCTGTTGAAATTTTAGATTGAGTGTGTTTGGTTAACCATATACAAATGAGTTGAATATGTATGTGAGAATTGGATTCAAGGCTAGCATGTTTAAATTCGAACGAATTCAAAACCCTTTGTTTGTTCACAAATCACTAAGTCCAGTTATGAATTAAAATCAGTAGTCCGAGATCCAAATAAAATCAATATTGGATATGGGCTCATTTATGAGCCAAAACATGACAGCCTTTGTTCAAATAAGATCTGGGGCCAAATTTGCTTAAGGCCCAGCGCGAGGCAACTTCTTGTAATACCGACTTTGGCCTCCTTCTTCCTAGGCTAATTTCGAAGCCCAAGAATAGTTGAAGGTTCGAATTCATATTAAGGTTATGGGATTAGTTTCCGAAGCCTTGGGCCTCTTAAGTAATGCCAATTGATCAGGTTTTTTTCTTGAGTCAATCTTTAATAGAAAACAATGCCCTTCAAAGTAAATGAGGTGCGCCACGCCAAACAAAATCACAAATCGCATGGACCTCTTTAAATATTTACATTAAAATATTTAGACATTGGGGCGTGCCATTTACCGAATTTTCATGGCCTCCCGCAAAGTTAATAATACGTTAGTTGCTTTTGGCGCGTTCTTTAATAATTTTACCTTCCTAAATTCGGGTGTGCACTTCATGTGACCCAAATTTAAATCCCAAAACGTTGAATAAAATGTGTTAAGAATCTGGGTGCATTTCATGTGACGTGATCCAAAAATAGGTTTTAAACGACGTTCAATTTCCTAAAAATTATTAATTAAAAGCGGTAAATAATTTCAAATATTGCACTATAGGAGGACATGTATTAAAAATTAGATTTTAGCCAATTATAATAGTTTAAGCGACCGTGCTAGAACCACGAGATCCGAGGGTGCCTAACACCTTCCCTCGGGTCAACAAAATTCCTTATTCAGAATTTCTGGTTCGCAGACTTCATTTGGAAAGTCGAAAATTTCCTTGATTTGGGATTCAAGAAAAACCAGTGACTTGGGACACCAAAAGCCAAACCTATCCCAAGTGGCGACTTTGAATATATAAATAATCCCATTTCGAATAATGTCACTTAAAATAGAAAAACTCCTTTATGCATTATCCTTCGGGGTAGGTGTGTAAAAATGAGGTGTGACAGCTCTGTCGATTCTGATGGGGATACAAACCTAGAACTTCGGTTCAGGGTTTAAGAATTCGAGCTTCGAATAACTGTTATATTTGACTTTATATGATTTTCCTACATGTTTCATGGTAAATGTGCTAAATGCTTTATCGCTTTGATATTGGATGAATTGTATATATAAGCTACTACGAAACCCTTCCTCTCTCTGAGTCTTCTACATTATGGAGAAGGGTGAACTTCGTGTGACTTCTCTTTTGTTTAGAGTCTTTTCCCATTAAGAACGAGGTTCGGATAAGTTGCTAAGCTGGCAGAGCTTCTGTATTCCCGGTACGCTGCCCCTATCAGCTCGAGTTGTCCGCTCGGGTAATCCAGGTCTAGAACAATAAACCCAGGTTTTAACCCTAGTATAACAAAGCCTCATGCTGGATCCCTAGTAAGAATGTTTGTTTGCATCATGTGCATTTGACTTAGGGGACTCAACACAGGGGTTGGGTCCGTCTAGGACAGGTAAACTGAAATGAAATGACCATCCTGATGCATCTTACTTGCTACTTGCGCATTTATTTGCTTCAGATTTGCATGTTGACCGGCTTGTGAATAACGGGAGAGAGTTGAAAAGAAAATATCAGTGTTAGGGATAAGCGAGGGTAACCACATGTCTTGAAAACCCAATAGTACTGAAACTCTGCCGGATTTTTTTTTTGAAAAAATGAAAAAAAATATTTTATTTTTAAAATAGTTGGTTTTGCCCGAACTACGCCAGTTTGATTCCTACCAGATGTGGGATACGTAGGCAACCCCAATCGGGTCCAACTTCCCTTTTTGCAAAAATAGTCCAAAAACAATAATTTTTTTTACTCTTGTCATAAATAAATCGGGTAATGCCATTCTTGCCTAAAATAAGCCGAATGTCCGCAAAGAGACACCAGAAGGCTGCTTTTGCAAGAACAACCACTTTGAGTCATTTTTAAAGATTAGCGGGCACAACCTTAAAATCTTCTTCCTCGAAGTGCTGAAAGGCCGTATCTGTAAAACTAGGTCTTTGTTTTTTCTTTAAATGAAATTTTTTGAAATATGGAAACTCTTTCCTTTTAGATCAAAATGAGTCATTAAATCACCTTACTAAATGTGCAGGATGAGCACAACTGAAATTGAACCATTCACGGTCCTTAAAGAGATCCCTTTGTAGCTCCACATGTGGTGGAATGATCTAGGAACAGGTAGCAGAAAAACGGTGGTAAAAGTTCTGGGCGGCCTTGTCGGGTTATTAAATGTCAAGCCAAGACTGGATATTATTGAGGCATTGATACCTTTCTGGGTCCCTACTCGCAATGTATTCGGGTTTTCCGACTTTGAGCTCACACCTACTTTGGAGG